AAGCTGTAACGAGGCAGCTTAAGTAACGGGAGCATCTTCAAGGGATTTTAATGATCATTTTTTCCCGTTTAACGCTACTTCTACAGATGTGTTGCAGGTTTAAAAATAATTTAGAAGAAATGATTTATTTTATAACACAAATCATTGATATAATGCTCAAAGAGTGCTAATTCAACTAATGCAAGCTTGATCTAGCAAAGATCCGACTCTCAGTGATTGTGTATTTCCACAACAGAATTACCGTGTGATAGGATACTAAGGTTACTTTCGATAAATAGCTCTGTTGTGCAAGAGCAGTATTATCTAAGAAAAATTACTAGAAATCTATTACTGAATAACCCAACAATCACTGCCTATGTTTCGCATTAGTAGAAGAAAAGTTTATTTCTGTTCAGCATTATTGTTATGATCTTCATAGTTTACTTTGTCTTGGAAATTGAGCGGAAGTCCTATTTAAATAAAAATTATTTTGATAGCCAGATAGAAAAAGCAGAGCGATGTGAAGCAATTGCAATATTGACTGATCTGTGGAAGGTCTTGGCTTTGAAAAGAATTTTTTAAAATTTAAAGTCGATGTCTGCCTGCGAACTATGAAGGAACTAATAGTTGCGTCTTGTTATTTAAAACTTATGGAATAATGTTTGTACTAAGTTGCAGCGTTTCATAGAAACTCATATGCCAATTTACTCATGTGTTTGGAGCACTAACTTAAAAGAACATTAAACAATTCGTTTTCGTAACTTGTTGCCTGCCGCGTTAATGTAATTTAAAAACGTGTTTCCATCTGCTGCTTCGTGGAAATGCCACCAAGTCGTTGTTTAATATCGCAGATGTTCTAGTTTTACCTAGCTTTTCCCCTGTCTCAGCCAGAACTGTCGTCTTTTATTCTGCTGGAAGACACAGGCAGGGGTAGCATTCTATGCAACGTTTGAATAAGATTTGTATTTCTATAGAAACTTGTGGATAAGGCATTGCTCCTCTCCTAATCTCTTTTACATACTCTTTGAACAAAGCTAAGCATGGTGACTGATTTGAGACTCTTACAACCCTGCTTACCCTTATGTGTAAAACGGCAAAATCACTGTAGATGGCCATGCTGTCCTGGTTTTGTGAGACCTCTCTTCTTCCTAAAATATTGAATGATTTCGAATAGATTACATAAGTCTCTACGAATAACTTCGGTAATATTTATTGAACCGAACGACCCAATCCATTAACATCTTTTAACTTTTCAAGGTATTTATTCAAAATTGAGTCTTGCCTTTGCATGGACTTCATTAGAAAATCATCTTTAGGGCGTTCTCCTTTCAGTAACATAACCTTGAATGAGATGAACTAATCGTGGCTTTCGACGTCCACACTTTCTATATAAGAAAAAATATATTATGTCCATAGGTGGCTTCATACCTTATCATGTGCGGGTCGCTTTCATGTACAAGCGGCCTTACCTGGGTAACTAGTATTATTGTCCATGATTTAGATCTCAAATTAACTGGGATCTTGTATTGACAGCTTAACATACATACTGTTCATCAATTAATCTTGAAACCTGCGAACTATTAAGTTTAAGATTATATAATTATGCGAAGTCAAACATGCACATCTAGCTGAATCGAACAGCACAATGTAAGAATGTGGAGGGACAGAGAAAAACATTCACCTGCTCTAGAAGTAATTCATGGATTGAATCAACCTTTTTTGATCTACATATATTACATGTATTTTGCTATAATTCTACCGGTTAAAGATTAAGAAAAAGACATTATGCATTACTACTTAGTGATTTACTCTTACCATTTTCTTCTGTATCAAATAAATGGTTTCTTTTCTTAAGTCACCATTTACGCTTCTACAACCAGCGGCGGCGAATGTCCTTATTCTGTCCTTTAACAACAGCTGCGATTGGCTGAAACAAATGTAATTAGTGGGAAGCGCAACCGAGCTACGGTAATATCGACGAGAACTCGAAGAACAGCGAAGAAGCAAATGCCGAACGAAATTTGAATCAACACAGAATAGTAACCCCTTCTTACTTACGAAGCTAGTCGAATTATCCAACAAGTATGGATATAAGTAGAGAACAACCTAGAAAAAATCTTGAACAATACACACATTCATACTTGATCCTCAATTTAGCTTCATTGCAGAATTTGCAAGAGGTTCAACAAGCAGTGGCTCGCCAAGGCTATGACGTTTTGCGGTACCTAAATTAAAATATATTGTCCGCATGGTTCCTCTTTTCTGACTACGTTTTTACTGCATTCTTTGAGGTGATTCAAGAAGAAGACTACCCAGTGGCGGCTCAACAGCGCGACTACTTAAAGGTCCTGTGGTTAGCCTTTCGTGGTAGGACTGTGGTACTGATGTTCTAGAAGCTTCTGCCTGCGTATATAAAGAGGCGATGATGCTCGATGACTCAGATCTGACCTACTTCTCAGGAGTCGGCTTTTCCGACAAGTTTTGGTGTGTGCGGTCCCTTCTTGCTCCAAATTCTTAGGAAAGGATGGGTTTTGCAAACTTCCTTCTTATCCTGATCTTCTGTGGAACATACCTCATACTCTCAATTGTGGGAATTAGGTGTTTTGAATTTTTTGTTCGATACTTTCAGTTTTCGAGTCGAATCATGGTATGCCCTCCATTCCATCCCATCTCTCCCTTTTTCCCTTTTTGTTCTCACGGAAGATAGACCGCAGCTTCTAATGAATGGCTTACCCAATCTTATTCACTCGCACATGTCCGTTCCAGTCGTCCAATCGCAGTCGCTAGCTACAATACTGATGGAAAAATCTAAGGCCTGTTTAGGTTCTTGAAACAGCAAGCTAGTTTTTCATGGAAGCTTTTGATATCATCCAAGTTTTTTTGAAGTCTTCTCCGTAGTAGGCTTTCCCTGAGATGTGTTCGCCGCTGTTGCCGGGAAGTTATCATGCCCTACGGCGAATCCCCAGCTCTGCCTACTTCGTCCTTTAAAGTCCGCTCACTTAAATCCTTTTGATCTACGCGACATCACCTTTTGACACGGATATTTTCATTTTTGTGTTCTCCATTTTCGCTATTATCTTTTCTCTCAGGGTAATCGTGAGTGCAGTTGTACAGCTAGCAATTCACAGCATATTGAAGTAAGTGCTTTGGTTGATTTACGAAGGTTCTTCCGTCCTATCTTCAAACTTGTGTTTTTGTAACGCATATTTTCACTTTGTTTTGAGTATCCTG